ATCTCTGGCCTCCATGCGTTTGCTCTGGTTGTGCCCCATGCCTGGGATGCTCTTCCTCCTCATCCTTGCCTCCTGGCTCCCCTGGCTCCTTTCAAGCCCAGCTAAAACCCACCTGCTATGGGAAGCTTTTCTCAAGCCCTCTTAATTCCACTGCCTTCCTTCCGTGAATTAATTCCAATTTATCCTGGCTACCCTTGCTTGTACGTAGCCTCCCCCATTCGACTATGAACTCCATGAGAGCAGGGACTGTCTTTTGCATTTCTTTGTATCCCCAGCACTTAGCAGAGTGCATGGCACATAGTAGGTGCTTAATAAATGCTCACTGACTGATCGACTGACTGTTGTCTTGAAGTACCTTGAACAAAACACTGTGTTTTCCACCTCTAAGCCTTTGCCCTGGTCATTCCCCGTGCCTGGTAAGCCCGATCCTCTCACCTCCACACTTTGCTTCCCTGGCCTCTTTCAATACTTAGCTCAAATCATACTTACTGCAGGATTGCCTCAGACACTAACTAATTGTGTGACCCTGGGCGAATCATTTGACCTCTATCATCCTCAAGTTTCCTCATCTGTAAAATGGAAATAATAAAAGCACCTACTTCCCAGGGTTGTTATGTGAATCAAAAAGAGGTAATGTGTAAAGTCCTTTGTGAGAACTCAAGAGTTAAATAAATGTAAACTATAATTATATTACTGGTAATAATACTCTCCTGGAGATGCTATATAACCACAAGCCACACGGTGTCCAAAGAATGAATACTGAAGGTCACCCAGAGCAAAAGGGAGGCAAGAAGTGTACAAGAAGAAGCCAGCACCCAAGGCAAGGTAGGTGGGCAGAGTAGACCAAAGGAAGGCCAGGAGAGGAAGAGAGCTGGGCACGGCCTAGGAGGGAGCATCGTTAACCCATGAACACTTGCCTGTTCCCCACTGGTCCCCATTCCATAGCAAAAATCCAGGGCAGCCATTCTTAACCTGCCACCCTATTGCTTTTTTTTTTTTTTTTTTTTTGATAATTGCATTTCAATATAATTAGTCACCTTTGCAATCTTCTCTATTTTGTTTTATGCTTTTGAAAACATGATTCTGGGAACAGGTCAGGCCTGAGATCTAGGAATATCCCTTTGGTAGCTGAAGAGACGAAGCACTGGGGACCAGCAGACCCCGACAGGCCATTGCGATACTCCTGGTGTGAGGGGATGAGGGGCTGGGTGAGGGGGCAGGCAGTGTCAGAGGAGAGAGAGGGCTGTATTCGAGAGATGCTGCGAAGGTGAAATCCATAGGCTTTGGAAACAGAAGTTTATAACTTGCCCAGGATCCCACAACTAGGAGGAAACTGAGGCAGGCTTTGAACCCACGTCTTCTTGTCTCCAAGTCACAGCCACTGAGTGACTAAGCCAAGGCTTGGATTAATCAACCAGTCCTTCAACAAGGCTTTATCAAAAGCCTACAGGCTGTGCCAGACACCGTCCTGGGGGTACAAACACACATGGAAACGTTGTCACTCTTACCCTGAATTTGCCTCCCAAGCTAGCGTGCCCTGTCTGTGATCCTATCTCGACCCTGAAGGAATTCTCTCTATTTAAGGGATGTTTTATAAAATCACCAATCATTCTCTAAGTTATTTGCTTTGTTTAAACTTCAGATTTTTGTCTGTTGAATCACTTCAAGCAAGTCACGTGTAGTGCATGCCGACCCCTGTGTAGAAAGGGGTGAGTTTTGGTCAAACCGCTCCCTAGCTCCCAGAGACAAAGTGAAGAAAACCCTTCAGAAAAGCTTCTCTGCCACCAGCACGACAAGAACCACTCTGGCCTAAGACAATTCTAGCTCCTTTTCATCTTCTTTCCTTCTCCAAGAGCCGAAGTGAGATCCTGAAAATTCCAAAGGCACTTGAGGAACCCTGGTGGAAAGGTCCCTCTGGCAAGGTGGGGTAGCCACTGGACCTCCTTACTTAGGCTGAGTCGCTCTGAAATCAGATGGAGGGGTAAAGAGTGGGGCAGCTAGGTGGCGGAGTGGATAGAGCACTGGCCCTGAAGTCAGGAAGACCTGAGTTCAAATCCGGCCTCAGAACAAACACTTGACACTTACTAGCTGTGTGACTCTGGGCAAGTCACTTAACCCCAATTGCCAAGAAGAAGAAGAAGAAGAAGAAGAAGAAGAAGAAGAAGAAGAAGAGGGGTAAAGAGCCCTGTGTTCTAGCTGGACAGGGAGAGTGGTAAAAGCCAAGAGAAGAGTGAGGAGACTGGCCTCTTGGATCTACCCCCTGGCAAGGCTATCAGGGCACAGGAGGGAAGGACCTCTTTCAGCTAATCAACCATTACCATATGAGCTTTCACATGCTTGGTTAACTCAAAGGGCCTCTCGGAATAGAACCTGAATAGAACTCTCAGAACCTGAAAGTTCATTTTAAAAGCTGCAAGAACGAGGCACAGTCAGACAGTCAATAGAAATCAGTCTTGTGTGAGAGCTGGTGCGAGACGAGGCTGTCCACCCGAGTGACTCCCAGCTTTTGCTGATCAGTAACTTTGGCCCTGTCTAATGACCAGGCAGAGCTCTCCTCTGAGGGTTAGCTGGATTTCAGAGAGGCCTGAGAGAAGGAACAAGAAAACCACAGTAAGCAGGGTGGGGTAGATTTCTCAGAGCACTGAACTTGGAGCCAGGAAGGCCTGGATTCAAATCCTGCCTCAGACACTTATTAGCTGAGCTTTTTGCAGGCTGAACATCCCCAATTCCTTCGAAGGAATGCGATGAACTCGGGTTCCTTCACCGTCCTGTTCACCTTCCACTGCATACTGCAACTTATCAACATCCTTCCAAAAATAAAGTCATAGCATGGTCTGAGCAGGGCAGAATAAAGCAGGCCAGTCACCTCCCTCTCACCAGACGCTCAGATGAGGAGCGCCTGGGTTCAAATCCCAGCCCAGACGCTGCCGAGCCAACGTCCTTTCCTCCACGGTGTCTGCAGCCTAGGAATGCTTTGGCTGCCTTGGTGGTGAAGCTAGCTTTGATCTCTACCAGCTCAAGGGCTGCCTGGGGCCCTGCAGTCTCAATTTTTAGAGTACGATGCTCAACAAAGAGTATCACCTCAAGGTTGGAAATGAAGAAGAAACTCTGGTTGTGGTAGGGGTGAGGGTGGGGGTTGTTGTCTTAAATGTGGAGGAAAATAAGCCGAGGGAAGCCTTTCTGCTGCTCCGGAACGGCTGTGATGATTCCGGCCAGGCTGCTTCCCAAGCTGGCACATCCAAAATAAATGAGGCAGGGAGGGTGGGGAGACCAGCGGCCGACCCTTTCCTTGGCAGATGTGATCGATGGGATTCTCCCCATCGGTGAGCCAGAAGACAGCTCCCACAGGATCCAGTAGCTGCGCCTTCGGCACCTGATGAACTGGGGTATCATTGGCAGCTGACGCAGGAATGTCAGCACCACAAACGTGTCAACTTGAAAGGCACCCAGGACAAAAGTGGTATGTTCAAGGCTTCCAAAGAAGAGTGGGCTCGAGGAAAACATCACACGTATATTCATTCATTCATTCATCTAACAAGCACTGATTAAGCACCTACTTTGTCAGCCAGCCGGTATTGTGCTGGTAGAGTCTTGGCCTTGGGGTCAAGGAGCCCTGAGTTCAAATCCTACCTCAGACCTTTATTAACTTTGTTGTCCTGGGCAAATACTTAACCTCTGGCTGTCTCAGTTTCCTCATGCACAAAATGGAGATACCAAGAACACGTTTCTCTCACAGTCCTTGAGAGGGACAAATGAAATCGCATAAGCCAATCATTTTGCAAAGAAAGGATATTGATGCAATTTTGTCTCAAAGGTTGAGAATTATGACCCAATAAATTACCACAGTCTTTTAACTTGTCCTTGAAAGCAAAGCCCTTCTTTTTGATGTTGGTATTCTATATGACTGCAAGGCATGGAGCACGGAGGATTCTGAAGAGCTAAAAGCAGCCTTGTGCAGAGAAAAGAGTTCAGAGTTTGGAGCCAGAGGGGCTAAGTCCAAATCGTGGCTCTCTCCTATGGACCTACGTGACCTTGAGCAAATCACTTCTCCTCTCTGGGACTCAGTTTCCTCATCTGTAAAGCGAGGTAGATGGCCTCTAAGGGCTCATCCAGTGCTTGATGTAGGCTCCACCAGAAACGAGGACTGCCCAGAGGACACTGAAGAGGGCCATGACGGCCGCGAGCAGGCCACAGCAAGTCGGGAACAAGCTGCAGAAAGGACTTTATCTCAGGAATGTCTGCCGCTGGCTCGCTTTGTGTATGTATGGGCTTGCTTCTTGTCTCCCCCATTAGATTGTAAGCTCCTCGAGGGCAGGGATGGTCTTGTCCCTAGAGCTTAGTACAATAGCTGGTACACAGCAGACACTTAGTAAATGTTAATGGACGATTGAATGTGTAAGAGAGAAAGCTGGTCCAAAGGACCACCCATGGGCAGCCCACGGTCTTGATGGGGATCCCTGACTGGAAAAGAGAAATCAAGGAAGGTCTCAGCCCATCGGTGCCTCTTGTGGAGGAACTTTTGGAAGGTGAAGGAAGGGATGACGGGTCACCAGATGTGACCGAGAGGAGGACCCACATCAGAGAGACCGCAGATCCGTGGAACTACTGAGTATACACAGGAAACGGCAATGCAGACTTGGACTTGGCCTTGAGAATGGGGCGGGTTCAACTGCTGTGTTCCAGGGAGCTGATGCTCCCATGGAGGTGGCAGGAATTTTGGGCAGGGGTGGGGGGAGACAAAGAAGGAGACTGGCATGATGGCTCAGCGGCAGGCAGGAGGCCCTGGCTCTAAGCCTCAGCGAGGACACGTCCAAGTGGGTTGTGTTTCTGGTTGCTCACCCTCGAGTGCTCAGAAAGTGTGCAGGGATGGCTGGAGAAAGACCACCCACTTAGAGGAGCTAAGGACGCCCAGCAGTCAAGTCCTCTAGACACCGTGTTGAGAAACGCTTTTAGCAACATTCCATCAAGTATATCAAGGGAAAACAAATCAGTGTGCTTACCTTTGTGCGCAATGTGACACAGGTCTTCTTGCATTTTGGAAAATTCTGATGAGGTTTCAGAACCATCAGAATAATTTTTGTCTTCCCCAAAATCTAGCGTTGACAGATTCGGATTGGATGCATGAAGCCTGACTGGGCCTGAATAAGGCTTCGGGACCTGTGGGGACACCAACAGGAGGGTTACTGAAGGGGCAGAGCAGGGAAACTCTCCCCTCCCCCCAGCCCATTCCTTTCCCGCCAAGCGAGATGCCATAGTTGAGGTTCAGACAGTGGGGGCAGAAGCAATGCTCCAGACAGACGACACAGCCTCTCTCCTCTGTCCCTGGAGTTTAAAAAAATCCCAAACCTGAGGAGTTCTGAGAACCATCTCACCCCTAACAGCTTCCACTGGGGTGTAAATGGGCAAGACGTCATGTAACAAACAGGAAAGATGAGTGACAGAGGGGAGCTGGGTATTCTGCTGCCTTAGTCCTCCCAAGCAAGGGGCAGTGAGTGAGGCAAGGACTAGATCTGGAGTCAGGAAGTCCTGGGTTCAAATCCCACCTCCGATGCTAGCTAGCTGTGTGAGCCTGGGCAGGGGATTTAGTGCTTCTGAATCTCAGTTTCCCCATGTGAAAAATAGAGCCAAAATGGGCCCCTCCTCACAGGGTGGCCGAGAGGCTCAAACCACACAAGGTGTGCAGGCTGCTCACTGCCCGCATTCCAACGACTGTGTCTTGGTTGCTCTATGGACCCAGTGACAGCTGGCATCGAGCCAGATTATCCTTTCCCTTCTTGGAGGGAATGCATTTCCAGGAGACAGTTATCTGTCCCTGGAACATCCTTCAGTGCCTTTAAATAAGTGGGTGTGGAGAAGCAGCAATCAGCATCCTTGGAGGGAACACCCACATTGATAGGATCCCCGATTCTTTGGAGAGATAGCTTTGTCTAGTGATCAGTGCACAGGACTTGGAATCAGGAAGACCTGGGTTCCAATCCTGACCTTAGACACTGACCAGCTATGTGACACTGGACAAGTCAGCTAACCTCTTTATGCCTCAGTTCCCTTTTCTATAGATGAGGGGGTGATCTGTGATTCTCTGACCCTTGAGTCTTGGCTTTAAAGGTGGTCTTATACCATTCAAGCAGCCCCCCTCACCTCTGGACCTCCCAAACTTCAGCTCCCCACTTAGCCCTGGTTGCCAGGTACTCTGCCTGATAGCAGGGCCCAGCCAGGCTACTTTGGTCTAGTGGATATCCCTGTTAAACACGGCAGGCTGGGCTCCAAACGTGGCTTTGGAGTCCCACACACCCAGCGGCGTAGGAAGCTGCAAGCGTGACACGTGCAGCCCCTGGGGGAGGCGGTTTGTGTGCAGAGGGGACACAAGAAGCTGGACAAGGCTTTGCCCCTCAGCAGCGCTAGGCCTCTCAGATTCTGAGCTGCTGACTCAGCAGAGCCTCAGCGGAATCTGAGGCAGTGGGGAAGGATCACCATTAACCAAGGCCACACTTAAGCAGGGAAGGAGTGCTCAGACGAGTCAGAGAGAAGGGGGAAATGGAAAGTCCTTGGGCTGCCTCTGGAACTGCCAATCTGCCGCCATTTTCTGAAGTCAATGGAGTGACCAAAGCCCACCTTCCCGTGCCCCATGGAGGAGCTTTCTCCCATCTCTCCGATACGAAGCCAATCCCCATGGCCTTCATCATCTGCTCAGGACCTTTGGGGATGAGTCAATAACCAGGTCCTTTGGGATTGGCCCATTTGACCACTTAAATAAAGGTACTGGGGTATTCATAATTGTACTCCTAAGCACAGGTGGTCCAGAAGTTGTTTTTTTCCACAAAGGGCAGAGTAGGAACAGAGGAGGGGTGAGCATCCCGGGGGGGCTCAGGTTACCTGCAGCATTCCTTTGGCCTCTTTGCTAATAGCTCTCGCCCGCCACCGTCTGTGGGGTCTTTTTTCCTTTTTGGGACTTTCAAAAGCTCCACCCTTCATCACAAAAGAAGAAAGAAGGAAAGAGCGTGAGGCTCCACAGAATGAGTCTGTGGGGCCGGCAGAGCAGCACCAAGCTCCATCCCCAGCAGCTGCCAATGGGCTGCCTCCCATCTGGCAGGCCCAGAGGAGGGACTCACACTGACCTGAAGGGCGTTTATCGCCGGGGCTGAGTAGGTCCTGTGAAGGACCTCCATGCTCTGGAGGAGGTGGCTCATCTCCACCAAGTAGGTATGACAGTGGGCCAGATCTGGGGGAAGATGAACACGAGTGAAGCAAAGTGATGTCATAGGAGGGTAGGGTCAGAGCTGGAAGGGACTGCGGAGGTGAACTAGTCCACTTTTACAAAAGTGGAAACTGAGGTCTGGGGAAATGGAAGTGACTTGTCCAAGGTCACACAGACAATAAAGGACAGAGCTAGGATCTGAACCCGGTCCTCTGACTGCACAAATGGTGGTATGTGAACGGCAGGAATCTTAGTGTGCTGAAAGGATGGATGAATGAAATTTGGAGAGATGAAGGAAGACGTTTACTGGTTCAGCATGAAGAAGGCAGAACCTACGCCAGGGTATATTTACACAGTGAGTACCATCGGGGCAACAAAGACAACACTATGCGGGAGCTGAGCTCTGAGGAGCTGCGATGACTGATCTCCACCCCAGGCTGCAGACAACGCAACAGCCTTCTCTCCCCTTGCTAGAGAGGTGGTGGACAATGGGGACAGAAAATGGCGTACACTGTCCGATGTTTGTGTGGTTGACTCTGCCTAACCTTTTCCTTGTTACAGGGTCTATTGGGAAATGTCTGTGAGGTTTTTAAAAAGACATAAATTTTTTAAAAAAAGGATATGAAATCTTGCATCACATTTTGAATTTCATAATCATAAATTGAACAATGCAAAAAAAAAAACCAACCACACTTGTGGTTCTCCATTAACAAGTGCATGTGTGCTTTCCCTAAGGCCCATAAGATCCAATCTCCCCACCCCCATACTGTGTCAGAGGCCTCCCTCTGGGGTTTTTCATGCTTCCCAGATACCGATTTTTAGGACAGCTCCCAACTCGTCAATATCAACTACTCAGAAATGACTGTCACAATCTGACACCTGCTTGCATCTCCTGGGAAGGCTGCAAGGTCACAAGGAAGGCATTAACCCTTGCCCCACATGGCCGACATCAAAATATCACACTGTATCTAGAACAAAGCAGGAGGCTTCTCCTCGTGGAGGGTTCACACTTTCATGAAAAAGTGATATCTGCAGATTTGAAAAGGCATACTTGACCTAGTTCCCTGAGCCAACAGCTGGCTCTAATGTTTGCATTCTCTGTGAATCCTTCTGTCCCTGTTATCAGTCCACTGCTCTGATAGCCTGTGTCTTGATCTGGAAATCTCACCATGGACTCTGGAAAGGCCTCCATGGCAAAGGCAGCTTTCCAAGGTCAAAGTTGAGGCAGCCTGGGAGGACAAAGCTCACATGGCCATGGGGGCAATCAGACTGGTATTTGTGGAAGAGGGAAGATGAGTTGCCAGGTTTCAACCTGACACCTCTCGTTAGCTAAGAACCTGGAGAGGTCATCGAGTCCAACCCCAAGGCAGGGCAAAGGGCAATGGATTGAGAGCCAGAGGACCTGAGTGGAATGCTGGCTCTGCTAATCTGAGGCCAAGAGGTCGAGACGAGAGAGTGATGCTAGATGGACAATCTGCAGGAGACTTGGAAGCCAGATCAGAAGCCATCTAGGCCAACATTTACAGAGGAGGAAACAGAGGCCCACAGAGCCAAAATGGCTTCCTTAGAAGTGGGATCCAAACACCAGAGCCAGGGCATGACCCTCACTGCCAAAGCTGCACTGTTTTAGCTGTGACAGAGGGCAGTGTGGTACAGTGACAAGCATGGTGGGCTCAGAATCCGGTGAGGTCTGGGGGCGAGCCCAGCCTCAGGGGCTTATTAGCTGTGTGACCATCAGAGAGTCACTCTGCCTCAATAAACCTCAGTTTTTTTATTGGTGGCATGAAGCCTGTAGAACCCATCCCACAGGACTAGTAAAGCCTAAATGAGACAACGCACGTCAGAGAAGCCGGCCGATTTGAAAGTGCTGTATTGATGTCAGTTGCTGTGATTATTACTACTCCATTAGGGGACTGTGAGCTAGTCGCTTCCCTCTGGACCTCAGTTTTCCCATCTGAGGAAGCAGCAATCCCCAAGGATGCCCCTGCCCGGCATCTCCCATGCCATGACCTCTTCTCCAACCAATCGACTTCAGGGACAAAGAGGAGAAGGGAGACGAGAGAGGGGACCCAAACATCCCTCAGGATAAAAAGCGGCCCGAGCTCTAGACACTCTACCTTTGGAACATTTTTCCATGTCTTCGGAAGACTGTGTCCATATGGGGAGCCTGGCTTCTCCACAGCTGAACGACAAATTGCTTCCCGTCTGCAACGAACTCTGCTTCGATATACTGCTGCGCTGTTCCACAGACAACAGAGGCGATGAGAAATGCAAACACATCCTAGAAGTCTGGCAGAGAGGCTGACCAAGTGGTCTGCCCTGGGACGGGAGGGCAGGGCCTGGCATGGAGACCCAGTGGCCTCTGAGGCTTGGAGATTCTGACGCCCCATGGCCAGGGAGCTTGAGCTGACCTTGAGCTCTGTTTCTTGGCTTCCCCTCCTTCCAAATGACAACAATGTCACAGATCCAGCCAACAGTGAAAAATCACTTGGAATGTATTTTTGCAAATACCCATGGCCACGTGAGATCGTCCTTTCATGGTCAGAAGAAAAATTGAGGTCAAGCTAGGTGAGGGAGATAAGGAGGAGAGAGGAGACAGAGAGAGGGAAAGAGGGAGGGAAAAAAAGAAGGGAGGGGAGGAGAGGGGGAAAGAGAAAGGGGGAAGAGGAAAAAGAAGGAGGAAGGGAGGGGAAGAGAGAAAGGATGAGAGAGGGAAAGACAGAGAGGGAAACAGAGAGGGAGAGAGAGAGAGGACAGAGAGACACAGAGAGAGGGAAGGAGGGAGGGGGAGAGAGAAGAGAGAGGGAGAGATAAAGAAAAGGGGAAGGAAAGAGGGAAGGAGAAAAGAAGGGAGGAAAAGAGAGGAAGGAAGAGAGAGAGAAAGGGAGGGAGAGAGAGAAACACAAGCAAACACGTTCGGGGGAGGGGGTGTATTCTTTTCTACATACTCCTACTGTCTTACCTTTAGTAAATGATCTGGTTACCCTAGTTTGGACTGACTGCACAAACACAGTTAAATAATTAAGTATGATTAGAGGAGAAATAGTAACAAGGAAAGAAAGTCTCATGAAAGGATCAATGGACCATCTCATAAGACCCTGGGTTCAAGTCCCAGTTCTTCCAGTTAAGCAACTTAAGAAAGTTTTTTAAAGCTTTCCGAACCTCAGTTTTCTCATCTGTAAAATGGAGATAATAATACCGGCATGATGCAGACTAGATGAGACAACAATGTGCCCTGTACCAAGCACTCTATGTCTGTCTGTCTGTAACTTGTCTTCTACATTTTGCTGCACAACCGTGTATTCATGCATGTGAAACAGGTTACAGTCTAGTGCAAAATCTCAGAGTTGGACAGGATGTCAGAGGCCACCTGGTCTAAGCTGAACAAGAATCCTCTCTACAAATTCCCCAATTAAAAGTCATCCAGCCTTCGCTTGAAAATCTCAAGTGAATAGAGCTCACTACTTCCTAAAGAAACCCGTTAAACTTCAGGATAAGCCTCACCCCAAGGAGTCCAAACCTGGCCTCGAGTTTCCCTCTCACATCCCTGGCTCCTCTCTCTGGACCCAATGAGAACAATCCTTGACCCCTTGTTTACATGGCTACCCTTCAAATACTTGACAGTTCTCCCATCTCCCCACTCTGACCTCTGAGTCTACTCTTTTCTGGGATAAACATTCTCAGTTTCCTCAAATGATCTCCATGTACCAAGAACTCAAGGTCTTTCACTGTACTGGTCACCCTCTTCTGGACACTTTCCAACTTGTCAATATTCTTCCCAACACGCAGCCCTCAGAACAAAAGACTCCAAATGTGCTCGGATCAGGACAGAGCAGGGCAGGACTATCACCTCCCTTGGTCGACACTATACAAATTCACCACTTTCCATTCCTTCTTCCCAAATCCTTCCCCTCCACAAATCTAGGTAATGGGGGTGCCAGGAGTCCTTCCTTCCTTCCTTCTTTTTTTCCTTCCTTCCTTCCTCCCTCACTTCCTTCTTTCCTTCCTTTCTCCCTCCCTTCCCCCCTTCCTCCTTCCTTCAATGCCTAGATTCCCATTGCCAAGCCATCGGGTATTACCTTCCTATTTGATACAGAGTCAAGTACTCCAGATGCAGAGTCCGAGACAGTGGACGCAGAGAAAAAATGGTTAACATCCCGTGGGAACATAGCAATCTCATTTTGACGATATACTCGGTGGTGACGCAGCTTGGCTACCCACTCGTCAAAGACTTCCTCGGACTTTACCTAAAACAAAGAGACTTGAGGTCATGGAATATGTTAAGCACAACACTGAAAACGATCCTTAGCCATCAAAAGCAGATCACTGTAGCCCCACCAGTTCTTCATTTAACCTCCGCTGGAAAACCCCGTTGTGAATAGCACATGTTAGAGCTTCCGTAGTTTGGATCCTACCGATAGCCCAATAGGACCATAAATGTTGGTTGAATTAAGCTGCATTGGAATGGCAGGATTCTAATCTACAAGGCTGGAGTTAATGTTACTTTGGGGTGGGGGGAATCTGTGGAGGAAATGAGAAGTACATATATAGTCACACGGGATGTTTGGCAGAATCTGGAGTAAGCCCAACTGATGCACTATTTTAAAAACAATCACTGTTGCAATAAAAAACAAATAAGTTTATTACTAATGATTTTGACCTGCCTTCCAAAGCATTTATAGGATTCTCTAAGACACAAGCCAGGGCAGCTAGGTGGCACAATGGATAGAGCACTGGATCTGGAGTCAGGAACACCTGAGTTCAAATCCAGCCTCAGACACGTACAAGTCGCATGACTCTGAGCCAAGTCACTTAATCCTGCTTGCCTCAGTTTCCTCATCTGTAAAATGAGCCGGAGAAGGAAATGACAAACCACTCCAGTATCTGCCAAGAAAATCCCAAAGGGGGTCACGAAGATTTGGACACAATTGAAACAACTGAACAACAACACAAAAAGACACATGCCCCTAGTCCTCTCTCTTTGGCTCACCAGGTGTGCTGTGCATTCTCTCTCTGAACAATACAATAGAAAATATCAGCAGGTACTAAACGTGCCCCTGGGGCTCAGGGCTTCTTTGTTCTCTTGACTTTTCACCAGGTCAGAAGTCCCTTCCTCCAATTTGGGCAAGTGAGCAGGATTTCACAATTCTTGATCCAAAATTCAGCAAAACATTTATGTTTTGGTATGAAATTGCTAACCTGCCTCAAAGGTCCAAAGGGAAGACGCTCCTTGGGCAGAAGATGACAATAAAAATATTACAATGGTTCAGTTCTGTCTAACAAGCAGTCCATGAGCACCCACTATGTGCCAAGTGCTGTGTTTGGTGCTGAGGCTACAAAGACAACAAAGATACACCAGACAAAAATGCAACAATCTCTCCCCTCCAAGGGCTTACATTCTACTGGGATGATACAATGTATTCACAGAGAATTTGATACAAAATATATACACAGTAACTTTGAGGGAAGGGAGGTATCAGGAGGCATCTTGTGAAGGAAGCTACATGTGAGCTAAGAATCATGGAAAGGGTTCTAATTCACGTGATCCGAAGGAACAATTGTGTCAGATATGGCTGTTGGTTTCAGCCCAAAAGAAAGATGCAATACAAATTCGAATAACATAAGCACTTCATTATTGGCACTAACGAGAACCTAGACTTACCAATGCCAGCTTTATTACTATTATTAATGTTAATATAATTCAACCTCCTCCTTGCCCCAGACTTTAATGGTGATGAATTCCAACTCCTCTAGAGACTCAAATTAATAGCTACCAAGTATTTTCATAGACTCGTAATGGGGTTGGTGGTAAACATGTGTGTGTGTGTGTGTGTATTTTTTTTTTTTTTTAGCAATTGGGGTTAAGTAACTTGCCCAGGGTCACACAGCTAGTGTTAGTGTTTGGTCTGAGGCCAGATTTGAACTCAGGTCCTCCTGACTCCAGGGCCAGTGTTCTATCCACTGCGCCACCTAGCTGCCCCAGTGATTAATATTTTCAAAGGTGAGATGGTTGTTTGTTTTCATTTACTAGACTATAAACTCCAGGAGGGCTTTTTTCCTCTCCTTCTTCCAGAATCAGTTATTCCCTTTTTTATCCTTTATCATGGAGCACAGCAAATGTCTCTGTACACAGAATGAAACAAGCCCAGGAGTTCCCCAAGCATATGAGACCCCTGATTAATTTCAAAGTTGAAAAAAAAAATCCAGGCCAATTATGTTAGGGCTTTCGTTAGTCGTATGGCCTACAGAGGGAATACGTGTTCCTATCACCTGCTTTGTGCCAGATACTGCCCAGAGTCACACAGCTAGTGAGTAGCTGGTGTAGAATGAAGGTGGGGGGCAGTCACATGGGAAGAGACAACAGTCATTTTAGAAAGGTTTCTGGGGATTTTTTTTTAAATAGAGGTTCATGTTGGAATCGTAGCCAGAGACATGCTGTTTCGGGAAGATGAGACACGCTTCCCTCCACTCCCATCATCTCATATAGCAGCTTACCTAATTACATATTAGGGAAAAGTTTCACATGCCAGTTTCTTCAAATTCATTTCCCTCTCTAGATGAGGTCAGCACATCCAAGTGTTCATGACAGATGGATTAGATTGGACAGTGAAGTCCACCATTTTAAAGACTTTTTCCAGGGCAGAGCCAAGATGGCGGAGTGAAAGCAGTGACTTGCTTGAGCTCTCCCCCAACCCCTCTAAATACCTATAAAAAAAAAGGCTCTAAACAAATTCTAAAGCAGCAGAACCCACAAAAAGACAGAGTGAAACAAATTTTCAGCCCAAGACAACCTGGATGGTTGATGGGAAAGGTATGTCGCGCCAGGCTGGGAGAGGAGTACAGTGCAGCATGGGTGTGCATGCCGTAGCGAACCTGGAGCAGGCCTCAGAGAACTGAATCACAGGCAGCTGGGGTGGTTTCCAGACTTCTCAACCCATGAACACCAAAGACAACTTAGAAGATCAGTGGGAAAAGTCTGTGACTGTGGTGAGAGAGGAGCTAGGTCTCAGCCGCAAGCCCGGAGCATGGCCTCTGGGGTAGCGGCTGCCTCCTGAGCTTCCCGCCCACAGACTGAGGGGGAATCGCGTGGCTGATCAGAGGGGGATTGCAGGGATCTTGTTGCCAGTGCTGAGGCAGGAATCTCTTGTGTTGCCCATGCCTGGATCTGGGTCACAGTTCTGAGGGGGGGTCCTGGGGCGAGGAGGAGTGCTGGTGCGGTAGAGCTTGTTGTGGCAGTGGAGAGGAAACACCTTGCCCCTTATCATACCACCTTGGAAGAACTGAAAATTTACAGGTCCCTAGAAGCAGCTCTGAAAACAACTGTACAAACCCCCGAAGCTTGGGACAGTACATTCTCCACATTGGAAACAGACTCTCACCTTAACAAAGAGTTTAAAACTCAAGTAATTGGCTGGGATCATGAGCAAGCAGCACAAAAAGAGTCAGAGTATATTATCTTACTTTGGTGACAAAGAAGATCAAAACATACAACCAGAAGAAGACAACAAAGTCAAAGGTCCTACATCCAAAGCCTCCAAGAATAATATGAATCAGTCCCAAGCCTTGGAAGAGCTCAAAAAGGATTCTGAGAAGCAAGTAAGAGAAGTAGAGGAAAAACTGGGAAGAGAAATGAGAGTGATGCAAGAAAATCATGAAAAACAAGTCAACAGCTTGCTAAAGGAGACCCCAAAAAATACTGAAGAAAATAATACCTTAAAAAATAGCCTAACTCAAATGGCAAAAGAGGTCCAAAAAGCCAATGAGGAGAAGAATGCCCTAAAAAGCAAAATTGGTCAAATGGAAAAGGAAGTTCAAAAGATTACTGAAGAAAATACTTCCTAAAAACTAGAATAGAGCAATTGGAAGCTAGTGACTTTATGAGAAATCAAGACACTGTAAAACAAATCCAAAAGAATGAAAAATTAGAAAACAATGTGAAATATCTCATTGGAAAAACAACTGACCTGGAAAATAGATCCAGGAGAGAGAATTTAAAAATTATTGGACTATCTGAAAGCCATGATCAAAAAAAGAGTCTAGACATCATCTTTCAAGCAATGATCAAGGAAAACTGCCCTGATATTTTAGAACCAGAGGGCAAAATAGAAATGGAAAGAATCCACCAATCTCCTCCTGAAAGAGATCCCCAAAGGAAAACTCCTAGGAATATTGTAGCCAAATTCCAGAGTTCCCAGGTCAAGGAGAAAATATTGCAAGCAGCCAGAAAGAAACAATTCAAATATTGTAGAAACATAATCAGGATAACACAAGATTTAGCAGTTCCTACATTAAGGGACCACAGGGCATGGAATATAATATTCTGGAGGGCAAAGGAGATAGGATTTCAACCAAGAATCACCTACCCAGCAAAACTGAGTATAATCCTGCAGGGGAAAAAAATGGTCATTCGGTGAAATAGAGGACTTTCAAGCATTCTTGATGAAAAGATCAGAGCTGAATAGAAAATCTGACTTTCAAATACAAGACTCAAGTGGAACATGAAGAGGTAAACAGGAAAGAGAAATCATAAGAGACTTATTAAGGTTGAACCATTTACATTCCTGCATGGAAAGGTGATATTTGTAACTCATGAGACCTTTGTCAGTATTAGGGTAGTCAGAGGGAAAAAATTATATGTATGGATGGATAGATAGATAGATAGATAGATAGATAGATAGATAGATAGATAGATAGATAGATAGATAGATAGGTAGATAGAGGGCACAGGGTGAGTTGAAGATGATGGTGTCATATCTGGAGAATAAAATTAAAGGGTGAGAGAGGATTATACTAGGAGAAGGAGAAAGGGAGAGGTAGAACAGGGTAAATTATCTCACAAAAAAAAGAAAAGAAAAGGCTCTTACAGTGGAGGGGAAACAAGGGAAGGTGAGAGGGAATGAGTGAATCTTATTCTCATAGGATTTGACTTAAGGAGGGAATAACATACACACTCAATTGGGCATGGAAATCTGTCTTACCCTACAGAAAAAATAAGGGGGAAAGGGGACAGGAGAGTAGGGGGATGATAAGAGAGGAGGGCAGATTGGAAAGGGGGTAATCAGAAATAAATATTTCTGAAGAGGGACAGGGTTAAAAGAAAGAACAGAATAAATGGGGGACGGCAGGATAGGATTAAGGGAAATAGAGTTAGTTTTTCACAGCATGTCTACTATGGAAGTGTTTTACATAACTGCACAGGTATAACCTATATTGGGTTATTGCCTTTTCAATGAGGGTGGGTGGGGAGGGAGGAAGGGAGAAAATTTGGAACCCAAAGTTTTAAAAACACATGTTTAAAAAAATGTTTTCACATGCAACTGGGAAATAAGAAATACAGGAAATGGGGTACAGAAATCTATCCTACCCTACAGGAAAATAGAAGAGGAAGGGGTAAAAGAAGGAGGGGAGAGATAGAAGAGAGGGCAGACTAGAGGAAGGGGTATTCAGAATGTATGCCATCTTGGGGTGGAGGGAGGGGTGAGATGGGGTAAAAATTTGGAACTCAAAATCTTGTGGAAGTAAATGTTGAAAACTAAAAATAAATAAATTAAAAAAAAAAACTTTTTCCTAATGAAAGGTACCACCCAAAACACACTTTGCTCCCAACTTTTTTATATTCTCATTCTCCAGGGTAGAGAGGTCAACATCTAACAGAATGACCAAGGCCTGACTCTGTGTGCAGATCCAGGTCACCCTCAAGAAGTCACTTCCCCCTGTCTTTGTCTGTTAAAGGGAAGGAGCATAGTTAGAGTGGACCAGATAATCCCAACGGTCAAGAACAATGCTAAACATGCAGGGTCCAGCTTGCCTGGTACATGGGACGTGTTGAATAAATACTTAACTGATTGATAAGCACAGTTCTTGAGGACTCTATTATGTGGGGTTCCCTATTAGCCCTCTACATCTTCTACTCTCCAATGACCACTCATCAGAGAAAGTCTAAATTGTGTACATTATTGTTTTAGTATTAAGTGTGTGGGGGCAGGGTGGTGTAGTGGACAGGGGGTCAGCCTAAGGGTCAGGCCACACGTGGACTCTCAGCAAGTCCTTTATCTTCTCCATCAATCACCAAAAATGATGAAGTGCCTACTGTGTGCTAGGCCCTGGGGATCCAAACACAGGTGTGAGACACATTCCCTGCCCTGAGGGAGCGCACATTCAGTGCCTTGGAAGAACTTGATGGGACCCTAAGTTACAGACAAATGGCGGACCAGCCCTGGGAGAAGGAATTCCCACAGCCAGGAGCTCCTGACACTGGGAGAATCAGAGCTCTCGACCAAAGAAAAGCCACTTTTGAGATTCTCCTGGGTAAAGGACAGGCCCCGGACCCTCTCTGCCAACACAGACCGGCACCTTTCTGCTACTTGGAGCTTCACTGTATTGCCTGGAGCACACACAGAGAAGTTGATCTACATGCCCAAGGTCACACAGCCAGGATGTCAGAGGCAGGATTTGAAATCAGCTCCTCCTGGCCGCAAGGCCAACCCTCTTTCCACTAGGTCAGGCTACCTCGTCTTTAAAAATTAATCTTGTATGTATGATGTACATAAGCTAAATCTCTATCAACCAGAAGATTTCATTTACACAGAACATTCTGGCCCCTGTTGGAGCTGGCCAGCAGAAAGTTTACTAAATAATGCTTCTTTGAGTGTAAATGAGGAAATAACCTACACTCCTTCAGGGTACAGGATGCCAAAATAACAAGGGGAACTCATTTCTTTCACATACAATTCAAATAGGAAAAATTTCAAAGCCACACTGTCCACAAATTTGTATAATTATAACCCCCCCTCCATCCAACCAGCAAACCCACACACACACACACACATGCACACGCACAAGCACATGTATACACACACACCCACTAGAATGTCAAGATTTAAGAGGTAAGGAAGCATTATGGTTCCACCTGAGAGCTAAGTGGGAATGAGTTCTACAATTACTCTCTTTTTGAAGATCACCCATACCCATGAGCGACCTAGGAATTCACTATCTCCTAAGTGGTCTTGGGCCCTAATCAACCAACTGACAAGCATTTCTTTGTGCACCTGCGTCCTCAGCTCTGCGTTAGGTACTAAGAGGTATATGTGAGAAAAATGACTGTCTCTAGGGTCATGGAGCTCTAGATCCATCTAGTTCTTGGCCCTCATTTTACAGATGAGGAAACTAAGGCTCCGAAGGTAGCTGACTTAATCTAAGGTCCCAGTCACTTTGACGTATCTCTGGTCAGTTTCTCTACCCTCAACTCATGAGCCTGGGAGCATCATCTTCTGTTGCTGGAATGCTCTCAGACAGCGCCCCCAGCTTTTGTGAGAACGGATTCTGCTTTTCATCTGCTCAGAGGCTTGAGATCAGCTAGGGTCAGGTGACCACAAAGCCCGTGAGCCCTCCGTGCCCTCACCTGATGAGGTCCCCTTTGGATCCTGACCATCACCCAGTCTGCTAGCTCTCCCTCCCAGCTTTGCGTCACCTACAAATGTCATTAGTAGGATGTCTCTGCCTCAGACCACAATACTGATCATTTTAAAAAATGCACAATCAATTTGGGGGAAGAGAATAGTATGCCTTCCTCTCAGTGTAGGGAATCACCCTGAGCTCTGGCGTAAGGGGGCATGAATGGGCTGACCAATCGGTTTCACAGCCTGTCAAAAGTGGCTCCGAGGGGCAGCTAGGTGGCTCAGTGGATAGAGCACCGGCCCTGGATTCAGAAGGACCTGAGTTCAAATCCGGCCTCAGACACATAACACTTACTAGCTGTGTGACCCTGGGCAAGTCGCTTAAACCCCATTGCCCAACCAAAAAAAAAAAAAAAAAGAGTGGCTCAGAAAGCTAAAGACGGAAGCAAATCTATTAGCTGAGCTTCCTTGCTCAAGAGAAATCAGGTAGGAATTCTGGAAAGTCCCCCAATGTTAGGAATCTAGCAGAGCTCTCTAATTAGATTGGGGCTGGAGATGGAGGCCAGTACCTCTCTTGGAGACCAGCCAAGGTACGTGAGGCCTCTACTGCGCACAGCTGATATGTTTTCAGAGACACAATTTGACCTGCCGAAACGTCCACAGGGTGATGAATGTTTTGGCCACAGAAACTCTTAAAGAGGATTGATTCACTTGCAATTTCAAACTGCATATTCAATTCACTGGGCCTCTCTTTTTTGCTTTTATTAATATGTGCTCATGGATATAAATTTTCCTCTAAAATGAATGTCTTATGTGCATTCCATAAATTTTGCCACGTCCTATTATTTATGATTTTCTTTAATGTAATTTTCCACTGACTAATTTGTGGAGGGGATGAGATCTACATCCTTGAATGGAATACCCACACCAAGGAAACCTCAGCTCTGGCATATCATTGAAGTCGATTTGGATTTGCATAATAACGAGTCACAACAGATTTTGAATATAGGTCATCAGCAGAGTGTTTTGAGATCCTCAAGATAGAAATCATTACTTTATGAGTCCTTCATTTGTAGTATTATTAATAACAACGGTGATTGTTATATCATAAATATACATGATATAATTATTCATGTATTGTTAGATTCCCTTATATTGCCTTATATCTAATATAATACAATGGCATTTAATACAATATAACAACATAATATGATATCACGTCACACAGTGGACAAAGTGTTGGGTCTAAAATCAGAAAGACCTGAATTCAAATCCAGCCCCAGGTACTTATTAGCTGTGTGATCCTAGGCAAGTCACTTAGCTTCTGTCAGCCTCAGTTTCCTTGGGGATGATAATAGCACCTACCTCTAGGGCTTGTTGTGAGGATCAAATGAGTTAATATTCATAAAGCCCTCAGCCCAGAGCCTGACACACGTTAGGTACTTAATAAATATTTCCATGCTTGCTTGCTTCCCTCCCCTGTAGTCTTATTCACACTCCCCATGTCCCCAAGTGCAGATGAGCACCTTCTCTGGTCTTAAGAGCTTTTCCTAGGGCAATGTCAGGTTAGGTGACTTAGCCAGGGTGGCACAGTTTGTGTCAGACATGGAACTTGAACCTGGGTCTTCCAATCTTCAAAGCCAGCTTTTCATCATGGTTCAATAATACAGCACACTAAAGTTTGCAAAGCACTTGATTTACATTTTTCCCTTGGGCCCTCCCCACAACCCTGGGAGATGGGTAGCATGGCTATGGTGCCAAGGTCACACATC